CCCCAAAACCCCAAAACCCCAAAACCCCGCTCTTCTTTGATGCCTCTGTTTGTAATATTATGAAATTAAACTATAATTATATAACTCTTTCTAAACACAATAGCTTCATTACCTCTGAATATCGATGATCTTGAATTCCTCCTCTCCATGATTATTTTCCTTCAATTTCTTGCTTTTACTTTGCACCATTTGATTTGCATCAGCATTATCCACCATTTCATGATTTTAACCCTGCCCATTCTCATCTACTTTTCTCTTTTTAAGAAGTTAGTTTTTGTGTTCATCCTCCTTCTCAGAGTAATTAACCATGAATTCCTTTAACTGCTCAGTGTATTTTTCGAATCCAAGTTCATTCAAAGCCTAGTACACCTCTTTTTCAGTCACTTTCTTTCTCTTTTAATCTAATGTGATGTCATTTGCACTACATTATGATTTATTGAATAGGAAACGCATACGTAGAAAATAGATAGAGTGAGAAGAGTCCAGCACATTAAGCTATAGATTTTTTGACATCCTTACTTATGATGACATTATAATCTCCTGGTTAGCCCTCCTTAATGAGCCTGGTCACTATTGATATGGGCATTTCAAGTTCTGACATTATTTTTAGTAGTATTGCGCAATTTAATTTCTAATAATTTATATAATAGAAGATTACTCAAATTTAACAATTAAGTTTTTGAATTATAAATAAACAATCAAATTTACAAATATAATGCCGAGAAGATTACCAGTAAGGCCATCTAAAATTATAGGCAATTTGTTTGTCTTGTTTGTCATTGCTGTCATTGGTACAATCTACTACACCTTCGTAGTTGAAGTTTGGGGGCCCAAGTGCAGAGGTAATAATTAAATATTCTAATCTTTGAATTAGAGAGTATCGTAGCAATGCTGGTATTAGCATTTTTTCATGTGTTTTTCATATTGTTAGTTTGGTCTTTTATGCAATCTATGACAACAGACCCTGGCTAAGTTCCTGTTTTTTGGGTATAAAATAATCCATCATAACTTTAAATAGGGTTTTCATCTTGGTGATGCAGAAAACAAGCGAAGAAGATATTGCTTGATGTGTAATGTATTCAAGCCAGAGAGATGCCATCATTGTTCTGCTTGTAATAGATGTGTTCTAAACATGGACCATCATTGCCCCTGGATTAATAATTGCGTAGGCTTTTGGAACAGAAAATATTTTATGCTCCTTCTTATATATGTTGCTATCACTACTTACTATGTATGTATTGGGATGGCCTACGAGTTCTTCTAGTCAATTAAATGGGAGCTTGATGCTTATTACTTTTCTAAAACTGATAAGCAATATGAAATGTTGTTTAGAAGTACTTTGATTCAAGTCTCATTCTTAGTTAACTGTATGGTAGGACTTCTAATGACATTTTTCCTTAAATTTCACATTTACCTAATGCTAAATAATAAAACTACAATTGAAAATCTAGAAAAGAAAGGACAGCAATACACTAGCCTTTATCATATTGGAGGTGAATACAATTTCTATCAGGTTTTTGGTACAAATAAAATGCTATGGCCTTTCCCAGTAGTTTTAAGCAGTGGTAAACCACTCGGTGATGGAATATATTGGCAAACAACTAAAGATGATCTCGATTACAATAAAAGCCCATTAAAAAGTGACTAATCATCGGCTTAAAAGAATCCCTTATCACCAGATAGTAATCAGAAGTCTAGTAAGAATATTTTCTATTTTTTCATTTAATGTTTTAGCTATTCAAAAAGGACATAAATAACAGATATCTAACTTTGATGTCTAATAATCCGCCTCCACTTAAGGCAGAAGTATGCAAAGATAATCTTAGTAATAGTAGAGAAAAGCTTTTCAAGCTGTAGATGTAAATTCGATACAGTCAAAGATTCCAACTGGGGGTTCGAAGGCATTTTCAAGTTCTCATAGCTCTAATCATCAATCTAATCAGCAATAGCAATTAAATTATTAAATGTCACAGCAGCAATAATAATATTAATAGTAGCTCCAGAATCAAAATACTTTTAATCCTGATAATAGAATAGTGATTCATCAATAGGATCAGAGAGAATCTATAAAGAGGTAATTAAATGCTGCCATTCAGAATAATCACATCAAAGCATAATAACTAACTTAGAATATAATGAAGGGACCCGCAGGAAATTAACCAGGTCGTGAGCAATTCACTACTGCTACTTCAAGTGATAGACCACCTTAATTTAGATAAAGCAAGCCTGGAAATTTCAATGGATCTACTGTCACTCAAAATAAAAGACTAGTGAGACGATGATAAATACCACTGATAAATTACTAATTAGATTAAATGATTACTAACATTAACTTATACTAAAGATAATACAAATCCATAAGTTTTATATTAAGTCTGCCAAAACTTTATAAATTTTATACTTTAAGTTCAATAGTAATATCTACTGGACAGATTACCCCCATGGTTATGATGATTATTATTTCCAGTTTAGTCACCTGCAATCTTTGCAATGTAAGTTTTTTTGAACTTGAATTTTTCTACATCTACGAGGTCATATTACTGCCCAAAAGAGTCTTTTTTCCTTATCCAATCCTCATCTCTTTGTTTTTGCTTGTCAAACTTCAAATTCCAAATGATCTTTTTGTTCTATGAGAGAGTTTCAGGAAACTTATTTATGTTTTCAAATCTGTTTTCATTCACATCTTTTGTATCTATGCCCTTTCTCTTGGTTTACCTGCTGAATTTCAAGTTCATCAAGTATGGCTCGATTTGACTTCTATCTATTTACTATACTTTTGATTAGTTTAGAGTCGGGAGACTTGAAGATTTTTCTAATTATCTCCTGTTTGGAATATATTGCTATTGCTAAGATTAATCTAGCAAATTTGAGTTTGAAGTTTGTTGATGCACTAATGAGGTCTTGAAAAGTTAAATGTCATCCCTAATGGTATCATCACCGTCATTATGATAATTATCCATTCTGCTGCTATTAGAGCCAGTGTTGTTATTCATCATTAAATCTTTTTGACTAGAAAATCTCTGAGTGAGTGGAGGCATTATTAGTTTAGAGTTTTAAAAGTCATATCTACTCTGATCTTACTCTTCTCTATTAACAAATATTTTAGTATTTTAAGTTACATTTCCTTAAGCCTTCTTTTTTCATCAATTGATCCTCTATCTAGTGTACTTATGTGTAATTTACAATCTTTCTTAGTCCAGCTAAAGTTATAAATTTTATTTGAGTTCTATTATTTACAACTTAGGAGGGCTGCTGAACTCGTTTAGAGTTGGAATCGCTTTTCTTGGATCCATCATGTCCTAATAAATTACATTCTAAATATCTGAGGGATAAATACCTGTCTCTTTTGTCTAGATATGCTTCTGAAAACACTCTGCAGTACCTTATTCTCTTTTAGACTTAGTTTTAAATCCTTTATCTTCTTGATTTAGTCAGTAGTAATTTTCTTTACTTCCTAATTGGCAAATATTTAATATTTTCAATCCTGAGTATTAGTATCATTAGCATAAATGGAGAGTCAACTGACACTCAACTTACTTGGTATTTCTAGGGTGTGTCAGGCTTTATGTACCTTAGATCGTTAGAGTAGTCTTTTTTCTGGAGATTAACGTACATCTACTCACTAGCTTTGCCTGCTTTAGAGATTACTTTGAATTGAGATTTAATTTCCTCAACTATCTGAGTAGGGCTTTAATTTTTCTTCATTTCAATCGGTATTTTAATAATTAACAAAACTAATAATATTTATAAATAGCCTCGATGCTAAAATACATCACCAAATCATTAGGCATGGGGTTTTGGGGTTTTGGGGTTTTGGGGTTTTGGGG